CCGGTTCTACCGAATAGGTGCGAACTGGTAGGAACTCACCTCTGTTGTGGTTGTATCTAAAAGTCTGACAGCCCAAGGATAACTATCTTTAAACCTATTTGTTTGGCTAAAATCAGTAACTCCCTGCAGGTATAGACTAGTTTTTGCCTAACTCCACTATGACACCAGGAGCTCAAAGGCGCAGCATCTTGGCAGGGAAAAATACCTACCTAGTTCCCGCAATCATTCATCTTATGGTTTAGCCTCTAGAGCCCTGATCATCTTTGTTGCACTTTTCTGCACTCTTTCTGGAATCTCAACATCATTGTATTCATGAAAACTGGATGGAATGTTCCAAGCATGGTCTTGAAACTATTATTTCACATGATCTTGATACTATCCCTCTCTTGATGCAGCCTAGGATGGCATTAGGGTATTTTTTGGCATCTGCAGCACACGGCTGGCTCATGCTTAAGTGGTTGTCCACTAGGATCCTCCTCACAGTTACTGATCTGTATTTCTGCATTCGAGTTTTCTTGCCTAAACGTAAACCTTACTTTTCTCACCCTTGAACTGCATTGTGTTGGATGGGGCCCAGTGTGTGCTGTTCAGCACACACTGTGTAAGGGGTCTTTATTAAGGCCCCTTACTGAATGTAAGGAGTCTTTATTAAGGCCCCTTACTGAATTGCTATTCCCCAATTATTCCCTGTATGACTACATACATGCACAAACTCAAGGAAATGTTCTTTTTTACATGGACTTTGTTTTTACCAAGAACTATTTCGGTATTGCAAAACAGGAAGTGGGAGGGTTAGAGTTAAAAACATATTGAAACATACATTTCAACACATATTCCAACAACATACTAGCGTGTGGCTTTTGCTCTAACCCTGGCATTATGTGTATATATATGTCTGCGATATTAATATTTACCTATTACATTCAAGGTTAGTGTGACATTAGATGTTCCAAAAGCATTGGTGGCTTGGCACGTGAACGCTCCAGAATCATTAACTCCCACTGAACGGATGCTCAGCCTTAATTTTTGTTCATATTCATAATCACGCACATTCTTGCTGTTGCTGGAGAAGCTCTGTCGGCAAAGGAGGGAGGGGAAAAAAATTAACATCTAAGATACAGTGTACGTAGCATCATTCTCAAATAAATTAAAAATAGATGTAATTATAACTTCGCCGTATTAATATTCATAACTTAAAACTTGAATAATAAGCCGCCGTGGCAAACCTGTCACTGGCATCAATCCATAGAAAACATCTATATTCTTAAAGCCGCCTTGAGGGGGGACAAAAAAATAATAATAATAATGAAAGAACAAAAATGAAGACGTGCTTCTGAAGATTGTTCTTACTCTCTTTGCTTTGCTCTAAATCTTCCATTTTTGGGGGTTTGATGGTCTCTTTAGGTAATAAACTCCGAATGAAATTTGCCCTAAAAACATTCACTATCACAAAGAGCTTTACAAATTAAGTTTGCGTCATGGCAGTCGTCATAACTCTCTCTCTCACACTCACTCACACTGTATATGTATGTGTGTGTGTGTGTGTTTGTGTGTGTGTGTATGTGTGTGTGTGTGTGTGTGAGAGAGAGAGAGAGAGACAGTCAGTCTGTCTGTATTTTAAAACTGTTATATGAGATTCTTATAATTGATAAGTGGTATGAGAGTAAAACAGAAAAAAATCCAGTAGTTCCTACAGCTATTCTGAAGTAACATTGAAAGTATTTCAGATTCCTGGGATTCCTGGTCAAGAAATCACAACTGTGATTGGTGTTGGTTTCTTTTTTAAAAAGTTGGTGTGGACCAATGACCCCTGCTGTGGAGATGACAAAAGAAGAATGTTCTATTCAAGGAAAGGAAGATCCTATTGACTTGGAATATCTATTTACAAACTATGCATTTTACTTCCTAACTGCAATCATTCATTCAAACTATGCAAACTACTGCAATCATTCATTCA